GTCCGCCCTCCACCGGGAGATGGAGCCACGGATCGTCCTGTTTTGCGGATATAGAGTGATCCGAGCCTTCCTTGTTGTTGCAAATAGTGCGATCTCATTCATGCCAATCACCAACAGTATAGATATATTTGTATGTATATTTTTTTAAAAAGATGGCAGTGGCATTCGTAATTGCCGTCCAAACAATGACAGTCAACAAAGTGTGTGTGTGTGTGTGTGTGTGTGTGTGTGTGTGTGTGTGTGTGTGTGTGTGTTTTGTGTGTGTGTGTGTGTGTGTGTGTGTGTGTGTGTGTGTGTGTGTGTGTGTGGTGTGTGTGTGTGTGTGTGTGTGTGTGCACTTGTTTTCAACTCCTGGTGGGTTCCATAACCTGAGATTCCACTCACGTCATGGGGACTGGTTTTACGTGGTGGGGCCCGAACACCGGACCCCACTGGTCCAAGCTTAATAATCAATGGGTAATGCTTTTCTAACGGTCCTTATGCAGTCTCTGTAAAAATATGGAAAGGACCCCTGGAGGTTTACTTTCCTGAAAAAAGTGTGTTATGTGTCGGAACCCTGGTGGTGGGTTGCGGGATATCAAGGAGGGGCACACTGGGGCAATTTCAGTCCAGCAGGCTGGAGCCAATCATGGAGCAGCACAACAGAGGAAATCAGGTGTCAGGCTAGAAAAAGGTGCAAGTGTGTGGTTCATTAGGCTGCAAGAAATCATGGAGGAGCACACTGAAGCGCACGCTTACAAACCACTGGTAAGTGCTGACTACAAGTCATGACTTCAAATTGTTATATAGAATGATTACAAATTATTTGTTGTTTGTGCAGCTTAGTCAAGAGTCCCTAATTGATGAAGTCGACTCAGGTATTCTGACGATTTAACTGTCAAGAAGAAACCTGTAAAAAAGTATGGAAAAAGAAAAATCAAAAACACTTTTCTTCAAGACTCGGAAAGTGACGAACCAAAGGCAAATAAGATTGTTATATCATGCAGCTGCAAAAGAAGAAAAATGGGGGGGCGAGTATTACAGCAAGAGACACTTCTGCCTCTACTGTTCAATGTCCTGCCACAAAATGTCCCGTCATTTGACTAGAAAAACATGGAAATGAAAGTGACGTAGCCAGAGCATTGGCTCTACCTGTGAAATCTAAAGCACGTAAACTTCAGTTTGATTTGATCAGGAATAGTGGAAACCGTGAGCACAATTTTGAGGTTTTAAAGGCCGGCATTGGAACTTTAGTCCCAGCTAAACAGCCAAATTCCCAGTTAAATCCAGTGAGTTTTTGCACTGTATAGACTGTGGGGCATTGCTTAAGCGAAAGTCGCTGTGGAGCATGTGGCCAGGTGCCGGCTTTCACAGAAAGATGCCCAGGCTAAACCAGGTAGAAGTAGGGTCCAGTCCCTCTGCTCCCTAGCCCAGCCTGTACCGGAGGGCATCAGCAAAAAGCTGTGGTCTTTAATTTCGGCAATGCATCAGGATGAGGTCACGGGTGTTGTCAAAGCAGAAAAGGGGATTCTGAGACTCGGAGAGCACCTGTACTTAAAACACGGGCATGATAAGACAAAGCATGATTACATTAGGCAGAAAATGAGAGAAGTCGGTAGGTTAATTAACGAAGCAAAAACCGCAGGGAAACTGAAAACAATTAAGGATTTCTTTATTCCTTCCAACTTTAACCATGTGATTGATGCAGTCAGGTCTGTGGCTGGATATGATGAGGAAACAAATCAATACAAGACTCCATCCTTGGCCCTCAAACTCGGCCATAGCCTCAGAAAGCTAGCAGATATTCTTGAATGTGACTCAAAAATGGAGCATTGTGTTGATGAACTATTTATTAAAAACCTCCAACGAAGCCGGCTGCTTTTTGAGAAGAGGTGGGACGTCTGTGTTTCTTCTGCTGCCCCTACAGACCCTCCGGCAAGCCAAGTGGAACACTCCCGGACCTGCTCCCTCTGACTGAGGACGTTAGAGCCATGCATGCACATATTGAGGTTTATGTCGACCTGAATATGTGCAAACCCTAATAAGTGAGCCAACGTCTAAGCATTGGTCTAAACTGGCAGTTTTGACTCTTTGTGAGGTCATCATTTTTTCAATCGAGAAGGAAGGTGAGGTTTCAAGATGCCCACTGACAGCCTTTACCTTAAGAAGTAAGACTGGGATCCAATTCTGACATTGCTCTGGGACTGTCCCAACTTGAGAAAAAGCTGTGTCAGCATTTTCAACGCATTGAAATTAAAGGGAAAAGAAGTCGGAAAGTGCCGGTTCTTTTGACTCCTGAAATGATTGCTTCGATGGAGGTGCTGGTGGAGAACAGAAGGGCCTGTTCCATCTCTGACCATAACCCATACTTCTTTTCCCGCCCGGGCGCAGACACCCACATCAGGGGATCAGACTCCCTACGCCAGGTAGCCAAAGAATGTGGTGCGGTGCATCCAGAGATGCTATCCTCAACCAAACTTAGAAAGCCATAGCTACTATGTGCTAACAGTTCTCAATATGAAAGAGAATGAGATGGACATAACTTGCCAACTTCCTCGGCCATGACATTCGCATCCACAGGCAATATTACAGACTACCAGAGGGGACACTGGAGCTGGCCAAAATCAGCAAAGTGTTGATGGCCATGGAGCAGGGAAGAGTGACGGAATTCGAAGGAAAGAGCCTCGACCAGATACAAATTGAGCCTGAAGGTAATTCTGATATTATTAAAATATGTATGATTTTTTTCCCCTAATGGCCACTTGTATTTTTATTTGTTTTATTTTCTGTGCGACAGGGAGAGCAGTAGACGGGACGGGCTCTAAAAGAAACTTCAAGCGGAGAACCTTCAGAAACTCGCCAATGGTCCTCACCCTGGGAGTGTATATTGCTAATAATATTTTATTTCTCTCCGCTAGAACGTGTAAGAAAGCCATGATCTGAGGTGACTGTGGAGAAGACCATGACACCTTTCAACAGACTGGAAAGGTCCCTCGCCTGGCCTGCAAATGCGCCTCACAGAAACTCGCCAATGATGGTAAAATAAGTTGTTTTAACCCTGCTCACAAGTGCCACCTGGTGGTTGTTTTGGTCATTGCAACGTCACTGGGAGGGGGGAAAATAAAAGACGCGTGAATCACACGTGAGTCTCGTGTGATTCACGCGTGAAAGGCGACAAAACGGAATGGGACCTACTGTAGTTAGCCTCGCACGTTTTTTACTCGCTTGTCTTTTTTGCCTATTAACTTTTCAATCTGTATATATTCTGTGCTTCGTCCCATATCGTTTTATGTGTGTGTGTTTACTTTTTATTCCTTTTTAATGTTGTTTTTGTATAGCACTTAGTCAGTTTAAGCTGTGTTTTAATGTGGTGTATAAATAAACTCAACTTGCACTTACTACAATGATGGTAATAATTTAATGAATAAGCTTCAAGTATTACTGTTCTGAAATAAGCTCAATGTACTGGACTGTACGAGTGAGAAGTGAGGCAGGACAGATTGCAGGAACAATTATAGGGTAATTGTATGTTTGTGAGTATATACTCAACAACGTACAATTACCCTAAAAATGACTTAATTAAACAAATGCGTCTTGTCTGTAATTGCTCTTTGGGGTTACTTACCTTTACATAACTAAAGGTAAACTAAAACACCAAGGCATGTGTTGTGTTGAGTTAAATAAGTGTGCTAATATATATACTTAGACTATCTTTCTGATTCCAGAAAAAAACAGCAAACCATGAGAGGCTTCTTTATGGGAACATGCTTCTTTATCCTCTACATGCTCGTCACTGGCATGAGGCCTCTATCAATGGTAGAAGATGACGGCTTCGCTACAATGATCCGCGCCTTGAACCCTGGTTACACTCTTCCCTCAAGGACCCATTTCATGAAGCTCATGGAGAGAAAATATGAAGAAACATTCAAGGAAGTGAAGACTGCACTAAACACCACCAACAGCAAACTTGCTCTCACCTCAGATACTGTATATGGACAAGTGTAGCCACTGAAGCCTACCTTGGCGCTACGTGCCATTATATCACGGATGACTGGGACATAAAGTCAGTCTGCCTCACCACCATGCCACTGCAGGAAAGACATACTGCATCTAACATCGCAGAGTGGTTGGAACAGGTAGTGGCCAGGTTTGAAATTCCTCCTATTAAAATCATTGCCTTAGTCCATGACAATGGTGCCAACATTGTGGCGGCTGCAAACATATTGGAGAAGAAGCATGGGTGGTCCTCTGTGCGTTGTACTGGTCATACCTTGCAACTTGTGATCAATGCTGCACTGAAGAAGCGTCCAAGCATTGAAAAAGCTATCGGGGCAGCAAGATGTCTTGTAGAATATTTTAAGAAAAGCGAGCTAGCCAGCGGTAAACTAAGAGGGAAACAACAACAAATGGCCACACCTGAGCACAGCCTAGTTCAAGATGTAAGCACAAGGTGGAATAGCACATTCTATATGATTAGCCGACTGCTTGAGCAAAGGTGGCCCATAACGGCAACACTGTCTGAAAGCTCTGTCGCACAGACAGGAAAAAGGTACCTGGATTTGAAACCAGACCAGTGGACTCAACAGGCCTCAAGCCTTTTGAATGTGCCACTGTGTTCATGAGTGGACAGAAATATGTGACAATTTCAGCAATACCTCCACTTGTGAAGGGACTCTTGAAGTCCACCCAGAGTGCTGCCTTCGAGTCAGCCCCACTGCAGGCTTTCCAACTCACTGCTATAGAGCATCTGCAGGAGCGATGGAAAAGAGAGACTGCTTTCTCAGATACAGCATCAAACACAGTGATTATTGCAGCAGCCCTTGACCCGAGGTTTAGGAAACTGAAGTTTCTTTCACCCAACGAAGTCCTACATGTTCAATCTAAAGTGCAAACAATGGCACTTGAAGAGAGAAGGCAGATGAATGTGCACGACCAGCATGGCAGTTGCAGTGTCACCTCCACCGATACTACAGCCACTCAATCAACACATGCCACTCTACTTGATGCACTCCTTGGTTCTGATGGTGAAGAAGAGGGCAGAGAAAGCAAAGTGGAGGATGTCCACACCCAGGTGAGGAACGAAGTCCTCACATACTTTGGAGAACCTTGCCAAGGACGAAAACCCATTACTGTGGTGGAAGGTTGACATTGACAGATACCCCATGTTAGCTACGCTGGCCAAGTCCTATGCATCCCTGGCACCTCGACACCATCTGAGCGGCTGTTTTCTGCAGCAGGCAACATAGCTTCCAAAAAGAGAGCCAGCCTTAGCCAGGAGCATGTAGACATGCTAACATTTTTGAACTGCAATTCAAAGTTCCTGAAGAAAGACAGTGAGGGAGTGTGTGCGTCTGTGCCACTCTGATAACTTTTACTTAGCAAGTGTTGAACAAGTTTTAATGTTAAAACCAATCCTGTTTTGTGATTTTTATTTCATACAATTTATTGTTCTGACTGCTCAGGTCCCGTTAAACGACAATACCCGATTATGTGCACTTTACCTTCACTTTACTTAGCAAGTGTTGAACAAGTTTTAATGTTAAAACAAATCCTGTTTTGTGATTTTTATTTTATATTATTTATAATTTATTTATTGTTGTGACTGCTCAGGTCCTGTTAAAAAAACAATATCTGTTTTTGAGCACTTTACTTTTGTACTGCATAGCATACATTTGTTTGTTTCTTTGTGTTGATCCATGGCCACGTTTTTTAATAAAGGGTTTTTTATCCGATTAATCGATTAATTGAAGAAATAATCGACAGATTAATCGATTATCAAAATAATCGTTAGTTGCAGTTCTAAATTAAATATATTCTTGTATAGCCCTAAATCACAACGGAAGTTATCTCTGAGGACTTTACACAACCGTTGAATTTGCCAACACAGATCAGAGAATTAAACAGTTCAAAGACAAGAAATAGAACAGAAAACACATTTGTATTGATCCATAAGTGTTGATAAATGTCCATATATGTTGAGTGGCCTGGATCATCACATTTAAAATGTTTTGCAATTTACATTTCTATTATACATTGTTAATACTACCATAATAACACAAAAGGCCTCCAGTAAAACAGTGGCTTGTGTACCCCGCCCAAAGTGAGTTCCCTCACTGATTTCCTCGATGATTCTAACAAGGTGATCGTGTTGGTTCTATTGAGCGCTGCTTTTGATACAGAAGCCACTGTCGCCCCAGTGGTAATGGGTAGTCATTTCAGGTCTTCAATTACTCCAAAACTCAGCAGCACTTGTCTTGACTAAGACCAGGGGGCGGGACCACATTACACCGGTTTTAAAATTGCTGCATTAGCTCCCCATGTGTTTCAGGATAGATTTTAAGGTTATTTTACTTGTTTTAAAATGTCTTAATGGTCTTTGGCCTTCTTATCTTTCAGAATTGCTTTTATCCTATGAACCTTCCCGGACCCTGCGCTCCTTCGGCCACAGACTCCTAACCATTCCCAAAGTCAGGACACACACTCAGAGAGGCATCTTTCCAGCACTACGGCCCCCGTCTCTGGAACAGTCTGTCAGAGGAGCTCAGGGCCGCAGAGAACGTTCATAAATTTAAAAGCAGGCTCAAGACACACCTTTTTAGATTAGCTTTTGACTAGTATTTATTATTCCACTTTATATATTCTATTTCCTTTTAGTCTCACATTTTAATGTTTAACTTTTTTATTGTATTGTTTTAAGTATCCCAGGGTTTCCTCTGGAGGAGCCCTCTGCACTGGGAGCAGTGGTCAGCTGTGGCTGCGGGGGTCTGACTCTTGACCTGGTGGGGGCCTGGGGCCTCGGCCTCGTGTCTCCTCTGGGTCCTGTATCGTCCCCTGTGGCTGCAGGCGGCTCTCTGCTCCTGGTGCAGACGGCTCCTTGGATGTCGCTTCTTCAGCTGGTTACATCTGCACCCTGCGACGTCTCTCTTCATGGTTTTAATGTTTTCCTGGTGTGTGTGTGTGAGAGAGCATCCGTGAGAGCGTGTGTATGAGAGTGTGTGCGCGCTTGTGTGTGTGTTTGTCTGCGCGTGCGTTCTTAAAGGAGCTATACCCTTTTCTGCAAGGTTTTTCAGTTTGAATGTTTAGCACCGCCCCCCCAATGGGCGGGATTGTTTTTAACCAAACTGTAAAGCACTTTGTGTTGCATTTTCTGTATGAAAAGCGCTTCATAAATAAAATTTGATTGATTGATTGATTCCCTGTGCACACATGAACCACAAGTCTAAACTGCATCCCGAGTCCTTGGCTTTATTAGGTTATTATTGTAACCTGAACAGATACAATCTCCAGGCCTGCCTTGTACACTGTACACAGGTTAATTTGGCAGTAGTTTTAGTAAAAAGCTAAAGTGCTGTGTGGTAAATAATCTATGTGGCCCAATTGGGTTTTCCTCTCGCACAAACAGTGATAGTGAATGGAAGCTCAGACTCTGCTTGGATATAAGAAAGAAGGTTTAATGTATACAAACAGAATAATACCAATTACAGACTAAAACTAGCCCGGGTCTCTGACAAGATGGAAAAGCAGAATGACCCTTAACACATCAAGAAGTGAGTATTTAGGAGAGTCACAAGATAGACTTTAACAACCATACATTCACGGGACTTTCATGTTGCAGTCTCATGATATAGGTGCTGTTCTAACATGAGGATCCCTATTGTCTTCCCAGATGTCACGACAGTCTCATGACTGAGAGAATGGTCAGCAATCTTAGAAATTGAGTGCTGAAATGTCCCATCACAATCTATACATATGAAGACCCATACACCTATGTAGAATTAAGAATAGTAATAATAATCGCAGACCTACAGCTGACTCAATCACAGTGGAGAGGTTCCCCATGTAAAACATGTCAATAAGGACAATAATTTGACAATGACGCTCTTTTCAAACATTGAGATAAATATACGTTCTTTTACCAGGGCCTTAAGGCTCCGGATAGCGTCACATCTCCACACCATTTCCTTTCCTTTCTGAATGCGTAATAGACTCGTGAACCCAATGAATGTGACGTGCGTGCCTACACATTCACCGTGAGAATAATGGCGCAGGCGTTTACAAGTTTCACGTTGTTATGCTGCAGATAAACTATTTGGCTTTATGTAGTGCGGGGGACATCCATCTTGGGGGCTGCACGGAGACATCGGCTTCCGCTCGAATTGTATTTATCACGGCTCCACACGAGTGGAAGCTTAAGCACACTGCGACTGACTCCTCTACCGGGGAAGGAGCTTTGTCTCTGCACTGTTTACATTTCTCTGCTGTAGCTTTTATAATGGTATATGGAAGGTTTAAAACAGGTCTGGAGCAGGTCAGGTACAAGCTAATACAATAACAAAAAAACAACTTTAGGTCACGGTTCTCTTATGCACCAATTATGGCAATGCCCAGAGAAGAAAATGCCTTGTAATAATGTGAGAAACTACTTTTGCCAATTGCTCAACACTAATATCCAGCTCAACCCAGCTTTAGCCATATTGGAATCAAAAAATTAGGGCATTGCTTAGAAAACAACACAAAAACTCATTACCCTGGCCTTTTTATCAGAAAAACAAACTATTCTCATTAATTGGAAAGTATGTTATCCACATTTTTTTGTCCGACTTAAAAAAATTGCAGGGAGAAAATCGAACGCTTGACTCTGTGGAACATGCTGCATTTGCTTTGAATGGTCTTTGAAAAGAGCACCCAAATCTCTCTGATTTAGCACCACCCTGCTGTGTGTCTATTGTGATATGTAATTATGTCAAAGTGAAGCGAATACAGTCCAGTCCAAACCATCAAATCTGGCTTTACTCAATTTTCCAACTCACAAAAATGCATCAATGTTTCACAAAGCTGTTCAAAAGGAAACAAACCACCTTGTTCAGCCAAGCAGCTCTCATTGCCTACAACTGAAAAGTGTAATGCTTAGTAGTTGTGTGCAATTCTTAGAGCATTGCTTCCCAAAATATGGTCCTGGAAACAAGTATGGTACTTCAATTCAGTTAAATTTATCCTCGTATTGCCGTGAATCACAACAGAGATTTTACACAACCGTTGAATTCGCCAACACAGAGAATCAAACAATTCAAACTCTTTGTATTGGTCCATAAAGGGCAGATGACCAAGTTCCATATGTGTTGATAAATGTCTATAAATATTGTTTATAGGACATTTAGTCCTGGTATATGGAAGGTTTAAAGGACATTTAGTCCTGAGAACGCAAATGAGCGCTATATTCAGTAGATGTGTTCGTAAATATAATCTGCCGCTCTGAAAATGAATAAATAAAAGTGCCCGAGCCCGGCCCGTGTCCTAAGTAATTATACGATCGTCGGGCAGTCGGGTAGCTGTACCTCAGTACAGCTACTGAGGGCTGAGGCTGAGGATGGGACTGTGCCATGGTGGCTGAGTGGATAGCACTCTCGCTTCTCAGCAAGAAAGTCCTGGGTTCGAATCCCGGTCGGAACTGTGCCTTTCTGAGTGGAGTTTGCATGTTCTCCCTGTGTCTGCGTAGGTTTCCTCTGGGTACTCCGGTTTTCCCTACAAGTAAAAAGATGTACAATTGATCTGGCATGCGCCTCCTGAACTGGTGTCCCCGCTCCCATCTCTGTGTGGAGTGAGAGACTAATTCCCAAAAAATATAAATTGTGATTGCTGTTCCTTGCCAATGCAGGAGGACATTTATGGTCAGTGGTCAACCCGCTCCCTACGAACCAATGGCTCCTAATGTGTTTGTTATTTAGTTTAGTTTAGTTTAGTTTATTTATGAAGATGACAGGGACAGTGTACAATAAACATTAACCTCAAAGGGAAAGATGCATTGTACCAGGTTATAGCTCAAGAGCTTATTTCCACATGCAGTCCCTGGGCAGGCTGATGTTATGGTATTACATAAAAAATAACAGACATTCATGGATGTACAGTTTACATTTGGTCAAAATACAAGTCTTCACATGCACAATTTGTTAAAACCTCACATTCATATCGCTCATTTATACAGGTCAAACACACATACTCACTTCCCCCCACCTCCTCTCTCTCCCTCCCCCTCTCTCACACGCGAACAGTGCAAGTTTGGTTTGATAATAA